CCCCCCCCCGCCAAAAGTCCACGGCCGTTACTTCTCTCTTCCTCTCTACTTCACTCCTCCCCTCGCCAATACCTCCCCCGCCAAGCGGCCGCCCACCCACATCCCCCACCCCAAAATACACCCCTTCGCGCTCTGTCTCCCTCCCAGTAGCAGTGCAGCGAGCCAGGGCTCCATCGGGGTAGGCCTCCCTCGCTCTTGGTTGCGTCCCCGCGACCGACTTGCTCGTTCTGCTGGTTGAATGTCGGGGCAGAGAGGCGCGTTTCGCTGGCCAGCCTGAGGACGTTGCTCGATGCAGTCGTTCCGTAGGGAGGGAGAAAGAGGCTATCTTCTGCCGACTATACCACCGATGCGCCCCGAGGACTTTTAACAATTTACCCCCTACATCATCAACATTATCTTTATCCTTTGGCAGCGCTAATTGTAACGAGTGGACGACTACCCTCGCGCGCTACTTTAATTCGGCGTTTAACGTAATCGTGACCCGAGGAGACGGCGCTTCCTTTACGCTTAAACGGCTTCGACAAACGCTTTGCACTTATGTGCGATTCAAGCAACGAGTTTGCAAGCGCACAATTGTCCGCAGATCTCGCCAATCCACCTATAATATATTATTACCCTCCCGTTTAGGGCGAAGCAGTTGGCCACTATCAATTGTCCTTGAGGCGCATTGCTCATGCAAAACTTACAATATGCATCTATGCCGGACAATAAGTAACAAATACTCGGTGGTGAATTTCCAATTTCATTCGCTCTTTCAAAGCCTTTCTAAGGCCTATCTTAAGACGAACGAAAAACGGTGTTGTAATTTTATTTTATTTTGTTTTTTTTTCTTTATATATATAAGGCTATAATAAGTTTAGGTAAACCTACAATAAATTATAGCTTAGCGTTAAATTATTAATAATAGTAACAACAACAATAATAATAAGATTATTAAGAATCGCAATCACATTAGTGTAAAAATAATAATTTTTTAAATATTTGGTTCATTATTTTCGAATGCACAAATTAATGTAAAATACCAATTAAGCGCCTATTTATATTATGAGCTGATATCGAGTAGAATATATATATATATATATATACATATATATTGAAAATAGCAGATCAATTATTTCATTATTAAAATATTTATCGTTAAAATTTGATTCGTTTAATATTTTTTTAATTAACATATAACGGATTTTTGCAATCCTTCATCCGAGCATTACTAAAACGAAGTTTTTAGGAATAATTGGCATTGACGTTTTTAAGCATTGACGTCCTGCGAGAAATTACGTGCCGATTTCAAAGAAAAATTTAAGAAAAATTCATATATTGGAAGCTAAAAGGATATTTACAACGTTTTTATGTAGCAATAAAGTTGAATAAAAACATAAATCATGTCCAATCTTAAATAAATATAAGTAATGAAAATAAAAGGGGAAAAAATTATCTAACGCTCCATTTTCTTAATTTTTTCTTCTTCTTTTTATTTTTTTACACTCTTTTATAATTCGTAGTAGTAGTAGTTTATCATTTTTATTGCAATTTTATACTTATTGCAAAACTTTCATGAAAATCTGATAAAAAAAAAAGAAAGAAAAAAAAACATCAATATGCAATAAAAAATTCCATTGAAATTTATGATGTACTATTTTAAGAAAATTTTGAATTTTAAAATAAATTTTTCATCGCCCTTGACTAATCGACACTAAATATTATATAATAAAAATCAAAATTAAAAGTAAAATATAATTCTGTCTGGATTTGCTTATGAAATAAGATATTTTCAAAAACTCTAATTCATATACGAGTGCGTGTACTATAGATTAACCAAAATTGACTTATATTTTATGGCAAACATTTATTATTATTTATTAATTAGAGTGGAATTTTTAGGAAACCAAGTCTGTATTTCAAAGATTTTGAGTGCACATTTATTTTTCAAATAAAAAGGAAGTAGTTGTCGAGTCTTTTTTGACGTAATGCTTAGGAAATTGATGAAATATCTTGATTCAATGCCCTAATATATTGAAATGAAATAACTTTTCACTACGAGTAATTTATAATTGAAAATTGCACATTCTCTTAAAATTTAATAGAGTTTAAAACATTATTCTTTTAATCTCGGCAAGTTAGGAATGTTATATTTAAAAATTTATAGATGTGTTCTGCTTTGACATGACTAGCCCTTACATGTTCATAAAATCATACGATCTTTTGTGCTCGATTATTTATTCATCCGTAGTCAATGATACTAACAATATATGTTATATTCGACATTCAATGTCGTTACATAAATTACAATAATCAAACGTTATTATATAATATTCTTACATTCGTTTTTGCTTGTTTGTTTGTTTGTTTGTTTGTTTTTTTATTTTATTCTCAAGATATCCTTCACCTATGAGAACATTGCAATAACAAAAGGAATTCGCATAGCAAAAGTTTCGGAAGCAAAAAGTTAGCCGAGCAGCAATCGGCCCCTTAAAGTTTTCCTTTTCAGTAGGATATTTATTTCCTAACAAAAATTCCCCTTGCTTCCATTAGACCCTTCCACTTCCAAAGACTATCTCCATTATTCCAAA